TAAATGTTTTACACTTATTTAGTTACACCCAAGTAAGGACTATAGGTGCCTTTTATCAGTTTGCTAAACCATTTCTTTAACCCGCTCGCACTATTCATCACTGGGGAAATTCTTTTTTTTTAAACCTTTTATTTTATTTCTTTTTCTTATTTTTTCACGGTGTGAGTGGATAAGCTCTAACGACTTTTTCCCCAGACTGTGACTGGTGACAGTCGCTGCCTTTACACTTAACAGTGTACCCCTCGTTGTTATTTAGTGACAGCAGTTACTTTTTAAGTGACGGTGGTTGTTACACTTTATTGTATTTTGAGCTTTGATAAAACTCTTTTACCTTTTTGTCACGGTCTATAAATAATTGGAATAAAAGGTATTTTTTCATCGTTGACCCTTCGCGAACTTGTTATGGATGAAATATCCCTGTGTATAAAAACAGTATGTTTAGACCAAAAGTTAATTCGACTCAAAACCTAAATATTAGTCAAATTAAACATAATGGTCCAATTTAGGTAATCTATTGAAAATTGAAAAATTGATTATTTTCAATAAAAACAAGTCATTTAAAATAACCGTAATCAATTTCGTCTCAAAAGTGCTGTTTATCAGTATTTTATCCTCAATTTCAAACAAATAAGAAAAATAAAAAAACTAACTTGATCTATATTAAGTTGTAACGGTTACTCTTCTAGTACCGTTATTTTTAATATTTTATAACTATATTTTTAAAATGATTGTCCCATCTCTATTAGGAACGTTACTTTCATTCTGTCGCTACAAATATTTTATATAGTTATTTTTGGTTTTATGTACGGATCGAAAGTGAATTTCGACAGGTATTACTGGTAAAAGTCTTTTACATCAATACCACAGCTTATACAATACAGCTAAAACGCTCTCTTGGCGGCAACGGTTTGCGTCGATTTCGTCGCGCATCGCTTAAGCTCCGCCTTCGAAGGGAAAAGACAGTTTTGGCGTTCAGAAGCGTACTTAGGTAAGGTGTTGAGTCGTGCGTATAATTTCGTTGATTGTATAATTTCGTGGAGCCTATAATTTCGTTGATTTTGTTTAAGTCAAAGGTACTGTTATTATTTTGGTGACCCTTTAGCTGTGAGTAGAATGAGTGAAAAAAAAAGACATCATTCTGTTTGTGCAGTCAAAAGCTGTTTTAATAAGGGTTATACCTGCAAGAAAACATTCTTTAGTTTTCCCAAGGACCCAAACCGATAAGTACCACATTATAAGAAATTTTCATTGTTAAAAATATAATTTATACAGGGTATCCCATTAGTGCGTTATTGTTCATTATTTTGTTGTAGACACGCAAGAAAGTTTTAAATAAAAGTTATATGGATTTGAAAAATATCTACATATTTTAAAAATATCTTTGGATATACAGGGTGTCACGTTTTTGCCTGGCAAATTAAATTGTACGTTTTTTAAATGGAACACCTTGTATTTTATTTTATGATAAAATTATTAACACCCTAAATTATTGTAAAGACGAATTGATACAGAAAAATTTTATCAGGTATGTGTGTGGTTACCTTTTAATAAAAGCCTTGCGGATCCACTCCTCTGCGATACCTGTCTTAAATATAACAAAGATCACGTCGAATTAGATGATTTTTCTTTTTATTGCTTTTTAAAGGCATATGATAACGCCAATCCAGATACATTTGGAAATCTGTAACTGTCAAATGATGAATTTGTAGAACTAATATTCAATATTGAAAAGATATTTCAAAATAATTTTGAAGAATTGGCTACAAAAAATAACATTTGTACCACACTTTTAGAATTAATTAACCCAATACCCTTTAGTCATCCATGCTAACGTTTTCCAAAAGAATAACTTATTTTATTGTATGTTTAATCTCAATAACTAAAAAATATACTGACAATTAGTTTGACAGAATTGCCATTTATTTAAAATTTTAAAAATAATAGCAGTCGGTTGATTAAAATATGAACGGTGATTGGCGAATTTATTTTTTTTGCAGTGTTCTCACTACCTAGAATGGATATGAAATATATTCGTTCAATTGAAGGCAATAACATACTTTTTCGTTTTGTAATCTGTGCATGGATATTAGCCAATCTACGCACATACTACAAAACGAAAAAGTATATTATTGCGTTATTGCGTTAAATATACATTAAAATTTTTATGTAGACTCGATAAATAATAGCATTTTTGTTTTTATTGTGTCCACATTTAAAAAAAAAATAAATTTTAATCAAACTACATGATACTAATTTAATTACGAGTATTAAAACTAAAGTCCTGAAAGTTTCGGTGAAGATGAAGACAGGGCATCTGCCTTCCACGCGAAAAGCCCGGGATCGAATCTAGGCCGAGGACTAATTAATTTTTCATGTTTATTTTATTTTATAAATTAGTCAACTTCGTAAAATATTTTAAAATTAGTTATTTTGTCTAAATAACCTAAAATAATTTTTTAAATTTGTAGATTTTCGTTAGTGGGTCGTAGAAAAAATATACTGACCATATCGAGTGGATTGTTCATATCACAATCAGACGATTGAGTACTCTGCCTACGACGTCGTGCTCAAACTTCGTTTTTGTGTGATATTGCTATCATATCCACCCTTGTTGAACAAACTATAATTTATTTGTTTTCTTGGTTTAAACCAAAACTTAAGTTTTACATCAGAAATAGGAACTAAATTAATTTACTTTTCAAGTTTTCTTGTAAAAATCGATATTACTTTCTCCAAGTACAAATTTAGTACCTACCTAAAATAAGTACTAATTATGTAATATCGTGTAATATTGTAATTAAAATTTCACATTACTATAAAGTTTCAAAATTCCCTACTTCGGTATGGTCAGATAAAAATTGAATATATTATATTAATAAAAACTGTCAAAGTATTACTTCTACAAATCTGTATTTCAATTAATAAGAATACATCTAAATATAACCAATATTGTTAAAATAAAAGCACAAATTCTTTAAAATTCCAAAATACCATAGAGTTCCCAGACCTCAGTCGAAGCATTCGTTTATCTAGGTATAAACCCTTTGCGCGAAGAGTAACACTTGCCAGAGACACGGGGTACCACTTGATTTGCATCCACGAGCGTGACACAATTCTTTAACAATTGAAGTCCTTGGTGTAAAAAGGATCCAAACCACAATTTGTCGTGAAGTGACTGTTTTAGCTCAAAACATTTGTTAACCAGGATTTTACTAGCCACATACAAATTATTTTACCTCTAATCCGAAAGATGTGCTATTTTTCGTAATATTTATATTTAAATAATGTTTCTAATTATATTTGACAGATTTAAAACAAATTAAAAATTTAATTTCCCAAAACTTACTTAATATGGCATGTAACCAACCTTATTACGCCAAGGTTTTCAATTTTTCAATAATAAAAAAATTGTTTAATCCGGGCCCGACTTTTCCCTCGAATCTAACAGAGATAGCACCATTCCGTCTTGCTTGGTTCTCGACCGCCAGATCAAAGACGCCGACACGGAGTTGTGGAGCTGAATTGTATAAGCTGTGTCAATACCTCAGAACGATGCAGTCGAGATTATTAAATCTGCTAATATTTAATTAATCTTAAACAGTATGTGGTATTTTTATTAGTGGTGAGAACCATCAGTATTTTATGGTGAGTAAAAGATTCATATTTACAAGATTTCTGCAAAGATTAACGAAATGGATCGGAATTTATTTAGTTGATAAAAATGTGAGGTTAGATGTTTTAGAACGTGTTATTAATTTCTGTAAAGATCTATTTTTTTTTCATTCTGTGTTCAGAAACATCCTACCTCCTTATTCCTTATTTTTCCTTATTACGTAAACTTCAAAAAGGTCTCAATCTTTTAGATAAGTCAACCTTTGGATGGTTTTTAAACATACCCTGAGAAATTAGTTGAATTTATGGTTAGAAGACAGTTGAAGTTATGGTTACAAATATGTTAATTTGTGGTTAGAAGATAGTTGAATTTATGGTTACAAACATGTTAAGTTATGGTTAGAAGAAAACGCAACGCTGTAGGAGACCGTCCTTATTTGAGAAAGATTGAAGACCTAACACCATTCCTACTCTGAGATAAGTTTCATTTTTTATCAATGAAAATTAAATAAAGAAGTAATTTAAATGAATCATGGCTTGTGTAGATTGTAATTGTTACTTGCCTGCATAAACATATATATTCTTGTTTTAACATCAGTCATATTAATTATATTTGCCAAACTTTTATAATTCACCTTAAATGATATGTTTATGTAAGTTTGGTGGCGCCCTCCTTACCTCTTTCCTATAGTTAAGTTTTGTCAAGGTTATTAAGTGCTACTCACGGCCCTAATTAAAATTGAGCTAAAACACGGTAAGTAAAACCAACATCACGTGTTACAAAGTTCATCTTTTCTGTACAATATGATCACTTACGATGTAGAAAAATTACTTACTTACAAAATTGATCACGGATGATTTGAGATAGGTTTGTTCAATATACGGCGATGTGATGTGATGTGATGTGATATATTACTAAACTCATTCGTCGAATAATAATGTTAAAGTATACGAACATCGAAAAAAGTATCCGGTATCCAAATATAGCTCGAATATAAAATTCCATGCATAAACAGAAAATTCTTTTCACAAATACGGAATTCTATACTCGACCACAAAATTTTACATTTCCGTGTTTAAATATGGAATTCCGTATTCAAACCGGGTATTTCGTGATCAAACACTGAATTTTGGAAATAAAAAATATGGTACTTCGATACTGTCGTAGTAATTAATCTAACAATGATTGAAAATAATTTAGGGCCAATTCTACCGTTGTGTTAATCGAAATTTAAATTACTAAGCGAAGATTAATATGACATTGTTTATGTAAAAATGTCATTTTAAACCTGGTTCATTTCTTAACTACTAGCAGTGGAATAATAAAATAAACTGAATTTAAGATTTATTGATTTAAAATTTTATAAATTTATAAAAAAATAACTTACCTCTGGTGATTTTTCCTGGCAAATAGTGAATCAGCACTGTTGTAAATTGTTTCAGCTTTAACTAGATCTTCATAAATTGAACTATCTTTAAAAAAGTTCTCTTGTGCCATACATAGTCCGTTTAAAACAAACATTGGGTAAATAAAGCGGCATACGTTCATTTTCTGGAAAATTTTTAAGTTTTACATTTTTACAAATTTTGTATATGAAGGGTAAGGGGAAAAAACCAACGATGTCCATTTTATAGGAATTTTTAAGTAATCAACTTTGATGTTGGTGATACCGAGTCCCAAACCCATGCTAAATTGTAAGCTATTAAAACAAACGAGGTCCGAAAAATAAGGCGTTTAAAAATAATCATAATGGTTAAAAACAGACGTTGTCCTCGCACTACTGGAAAAAAACCGACGTTGTCCAGGCTAAATACAACGATTTCCAAGAACTAAAACGATTTTGTCACCCAAATACTAACGAATTTTGAGAAACATTGTTATACAGATGAAAATCTGTTTATTTTAGGTTAGTTTTAAAATGAAAATCATTCCTTTTTAATAAGTTATTTGTCACGTTTATTTTTTTTAACCTGAATATAATATTCTTAAGTTTAAATTATTTTGTAACAATTTAACTACATACAGTCTGTTCGCTATACTTACGCGGGTCTCGGATTAAAAACTTTATGAGTATTTCCAGGTAAGTACCCGAAAGATTGACCTGTTCTTTGGGGAAATATCAACTGTTTAAATGAAATTAAAAAAAAAAATATTACATACACATTAAACATTAAACGTGAAATATTATTTATTGTAAAAATTACTTTAACAGTGAGTTAACATTAATTATTCTAACGTCGCGTCAGTCTGACAGCTTTCCTATCCGTTACCGTGGCGGTTAGTACATGACAATCCTCCGCCGCGATTCCTGGATGCCGCACTCCCGGGGCTGGTAACAACTGCTCGAAATGCCTACGCCAAACAGCGCCACCATCAGTCTGTATTTCATAGTGTAGTCGACCATGCCGGCGCGCCACTGTGCCGAACTCCCATTTCCGCTTCGAGTTGTAGTAGGTTCTGGCTTGGACACGGTCACCTACTGAGTAAGTTCTGACGGTTGGGGAAGCGTTGTCGGGTCTAGACGCTGTTGGAGGTAATGAACGTCTGAACATCACGTGCATCTTAGTTCTAACGTCCCTTTTGAACATTAGTTCATACGGAGTCTGACTGTTCTGGTTCGGTGTTCGCCTGAGTCTAGTCTTAAGGATAAGGAGCTTATCCGTTAAGTTGCCTTTCTCGCTCTCCATCGCGCGAAGCGATTTCTTTATAGTTTGTACATAGCGTTCGGCCTGGCCGTTTGTAGCTGAGTGGTACGGAGCGGACGTCACGTGCGTAACCCCGCAGCTTGAAAGGTAGTTTTTAAATTCTTGTGATACAAACTGCCGTCCATTATCCGATACAATTACGTAAGGTGTGCCGAATGTGCAAAATAACTCCTTGAACTTAAGAATGCACCATGAGCTCGTGGTAGTTTTCGTGGGAAAAATTTCTACCCATTTTGTGAAAGCATCCACAATAATCAGAAGTTGATGTCCTAGGATAGGCCCAGCAAAATCTATGTGTAGTCTTTGCCAGGGTCCACTAGGTAGTTCCCAGTGATGTAAAGGAGCTTTCGATGGCTCATTCTGTTCTAATCTGCACGCTCTGCAGGATTTTACTTTGTTTTCTATGTCTCTATCTATGTTTTTCCAATATACGTAGCTGCGTGCTAGTAATTTCATTTTTAAAATACCAATGTGTCGGGCATGAAGTTCATCAAGTACACGTGCACGTAAACTCTGCGGTATTACTACTCGCGTTCCCTTAAGTATACAGTTATCTTGGAGTGTTAGTTCATTGTCATTGTAACCGTGTTGACGTAATGAGCGTCCAGTTTGCAATGTTTTTAGTAAAATCTTTAGTTCATCGTCATTCCTTGTTTCGGTAGCTATGACTTCTGGTCGAACTTCAAAGATGTTAATCTGTTGTAATTGAAAACTGCAATGTTGGTCTTTTGATGTTTCTTTTACTATTTCTACTGGAAATCTTGATAAATAATCGGCATTTGAATGTTTCGCGGAGGCTCTGTATTGTACTTTATAGTCAAATCCAGATAAAAAATGTGCGTAATGGAACAATCTCATTGTACTTAGTGCTGGTAAGGTTTGGTGAGGATGAAATATCGAGGTAAGGGGCTTATGATCCGTTATTAATGTGAACTTTCGGCCGTAACAATAATGAAAGAATTTTTTTATACCCCAATAGATGGCCGTAGCTTCTTTGTCAATTTGACTGTATTTTCTTTCACTTGATGAAAGTGTTCTAGAGGCGAATGCAATTGGCCTTTCTGATCCATCTTGTAATTTGTGAGCAAGAACAGCTCCCAATCCAGTTGGTGATGCGTCCGTGGCAAGTATCAATGGTTTCTTAGGGTCAAAATGGATGAGAACTCTTTCACTTAAAATTTCCTTTTTAATGTTATTAAAGCTGTCTTCGCATCTCGATGTCCAAGTAAAATCTTTCTCTTTCTTAAGCAATTCATTTAGAGGGCTAGTAATGGAGGCGAGGTTCGGTATAAATTTGTTGTAGTAGTTTGCCATGCCGAGGAAGGTTCGTAGTTCATTAATGTTAGTTGGTCTACATGTATTGGTTATTGCTTTGATTTTATCTTTATTTTTATGTAGCCCATCTTTATCAATTGTATGACCCAGGTAAGTAATGCTTCATTTGTAAAATTGACATTTTTCTTTGTTAACGCGAAGATTATTGTTTTTCAGTTTCTGCAATACTTGTTTAAGTCGTGTTAAGAGTTGTTCTTCTGACGCTCCTTGAATTATGATATCATCAAAAAAACATTTGACTCCGTCTAATCCTTGCAGTAGCTGGTCCATGAACTTTTGCCAAAGGTTCGGTGCAACCTTGACTCCAAACATTAAGCGATTGACTTTGTAGGTGCCTTTGTGCGTACTTAATGTTTGTAATAAGGCACTTTCTTCATCCATGACCATGTTAAGGTAGGCTTGACAAATATCTAGAGTACAGAAGTATTTGCCTCCATTCATTTCTGCAAATATATCCTCAATTATGGGAATTGGATAGTTTTCTTCCCTGATGACTTTGTTAAGAGTGACTTTGTAGTCTGCACATAGTCGAATGCTGCCATTCGGTTTTACAATAGGTACAATTGGAGTACCCCAATCTGATTGGTCTACTTTCGTGATCACCCCCTCCTTACATAGTCGGTCGATTTCTTTATCAACTTTCGCTTTTAAAGCATACGGTATACGTCGAGCCTTAATAAAAATAGGTTGTGTATTTTCTTTCAAAATTAAGTGAGCTTGGAAGTTTGGTATTTTTCCTAGGTCAGATCTAAAGACAGTTGTTGCATATTCTTCTAATAGTTTGTCAAGTTGGGTAGAATGTTCTGAAGACTGTATTACTCTCATGTCTGCAAGTTCCACGTTAACTTCTTTCATCCAGCTCCTGCCGAATATTGGGTCGACGTTTTGATTTATGATGTATAATTTTCCGTTGAAAATCTGATTTTTATAAGCGCATTGAACGTACGTTACTCCTGTAGGCTTAATAATTTCTCCAGTATAGGTCCTTAATTTCATTTCAGTTTTGAATATTTTATTTGCTATGTTTAGCTTTTTGTATTGTTTCAGTGACATTGACGATAAGGTTGCTCCTGTGTCGAATTCCATGAAAACATTTTTATTCTCTATTTTAACTGTAATGGTATATTTTTCAGATATCTCGCTTTTAATGAGGTTTATATCTCCCGTGCTTTCGATACTTATGTTACTGCTATTCTCATCTAATTGATTGGTGTTTAAGTTTCGTTGTAAGCATACTCGCGCCAGATGACCAGTTTTCTTGCATTTTAAGCAGGTGGATTTGATTGCACCACATGCATTGGATCTGTGATCGATTTTACCGCATCGGAAACATCTCCCTTTTAAGTCTCTTATTGTTATCGAAGGTGATAATGAAGCGGACGGCTGTATTATACTTGGTCGTGAGGATGCGGGACGTGGATAGTTGAGTTTTTGTGCCGAGCTCGAAATTTTGTGTACTGTGTCAGAATGTTTGTATAAGTCTTCGGATATTTTAATATTTTCTGATTTTCCCATTTCTATCGACGTAGCTATATCTAGTAGTTTTGTAAATAATTGTGATGTATCTCGTTCTTGAATAATTTTTGTTCGTATATCACTGTCCTTCAATCCTCGAATAAATTGAAGAGATAGGAAACTTTCTAAGGTAGATTTTTGACAATTTTGGCACTTGAATTCACAGTTCAATGAAAGTTTCTTCAGTTCTGAGGCGTATGTTGCTACTGTTTCATCTTCGTGTTGTAAACGTGTGATAAATTTGTGTTGTAACGCCCATATGCTAGGTTTTGGATCTACGTAATCGTCTAGTACTTTCGTTAGTTTTTCAAAATTCATATTAAGCGGATCTTCTGGAGAGCACAAATCATGTAATCTCTCGTGCAATTCTGGGGATAGAGCAGCAAGTAAAATATACACCTTTATTTTAGCGTCTTCGATCTTGTTCAGGAGGAAAAATACAGTAAGTCTTTTCGAAAAATTTCTAAATGTTTCTGTTTCTTGAAAAGGCTGAAAGTTCATTTTTGGGCCTCGCTCTGGCTGTATAGGTATATTAGTCTGTGACTGTGATGTGGATGGTTGTACAGGTGGACTATTTCTGTTCTGTAATACAAGAAGTTTCGTTTTTATGATTGTACATCGTTCTTCAAAATCGAACCTTGTTTCGATTTCTTGGTTAAGATGTTCTTCTGGGGTTTCCAATTCTATGTTGTGTTGTATATCTTGTAATTTCTGTAATGTTTCTTGAAGTGATTGAAGTCTTGTTTCGATTTCTTCATATGATATTATTTCTTGAGTGTTTACGTAGTTTTCTAGTTTTGCAATTAAGCCTTGTAATGAGGTGCGGGTTTTCCTTAGTTTTTTAATATCAGTAGTGGGCATCTCGTCGCCAATTTATTACATACACATTAAACATTAAACGTGAAATATTATTTATTGTAAAAATTACTTTAACAGTGAGTTAACATTAATTATTCTAACGTCGCGTCAGTCTGACAGCTTCCTATCCGTTACCGT